TGTGTTCCTAAGAGAATCCTACACCCCAAGCTCATGATTTGATGGTGGCCTTGGCCTAGTGGCTTCTACTAGCATTGGAGGTAGGGGCACAATATTAGATGATCAGACACAGTGAAAATGTCCAAATGGATGGCTGCTTAATCATCGCATCTGTCCACAAATGCTGCCTTCTCCCTAGAGATGTAATGATCCCAATGATCTGTTGCCAAATTGTTTGCTGATAAACTGTTCAAAAATAGAACAAGACAGAAATAACCCGGGGAATATAACCATCCCTTTCTCCTGGTAATGATAAATAAAATAGAGCTTGAAGGCATTCTTGAATATGTTTGGACACTTGAGGAAATTTGAATAAGGACCAAATTATAGATAACATTATGAAATAATTATTTTCATGGTTGTGATAATAGTCATGTGGTACTAGGAGAAGGTCCTCATTCTTAGTGATTCATGCTGAAATCTCTGGATGAAGGGTCGTGGTCCAGTTCAAATGATTCAGCAAAATTATTGCATATGCAATTATATAATATGTACCTATAGAATATTATTTGTCACAGTGTATATGACATATGCATAAATTTGAATATTTATATTTATATATACATATGTGTATACATATAATACATACAATTAGAGATACCTCAAGCAATCCTAAGAGAACATTGACTCATGTTGACTCTGCTCCAGTGCAAATACTACCTTTTGAGTCCAGGTGGGGCATATGTGATGGTCATGATTCTGTTCTTTCAGCCTTCTTCAGGCTTGAGCTTTCCAACCTAAAAATAATTGTGGTTTTTAGAGCCCTCTCCACAATGGTTACCATTTTTCAGCTGTTTCTTAAGTAGCCATTTTCAAATGACTATCATTTATATTGATTTTGCCCTGAGTTACTATAACCCCAGACAACAGGAAGTCTGAGAAAGGAAGACATCCTCTTTTCCCAAGGAGCAACTGTTTCAGAGAATCAGCCTCAAGTGATAGGGCAAGGGATGAGAGGGCTCCTTATACCATGTTAAGTGAAAGTGCCTTGATAACTAAGTTTTTGTTCATACACTTATTCATGATGGTGAAAAAAGAAAATAGAGGAAGAGATGATGGCAGCCAAGCAGGAGGAAACTAGGTCCACATTCTCTTGCCCTCAACTGATATTTCTGGCTGATTTTATGACAATTAACCTGAACAATCAATGGAGTCTTAGCTGGTATGAAGTTTTGAAGCCAAGAGTACAGAAGATGCTTTGTACTGTCTGGTAAGGAGATTTTACAAGTTGAAGGAAAAATATCCTGTGCATAGCACCTGTAGCAGAGGAAGGACCAGACAGAAATTGCAGCTTTGGCACTTCTTCCCTTCTTGGTCCCCAGTCCTGCACAGGGGTCTCCAACACTATTTGGGAGTGACTCGGGAGGATATACGGAGTCTGGGAGACCCAGGCTATAACACACACACAATGAATAGCATGTTCCTAACTGTAGCGCCAATCTGGAGAGTTCCAGATAGGGACTCAATCTCCTAAAATGAGTAGGTTACCACAACTGACAGTTTGTCAGAGGCACCTGCAGCCAGCCATGACCTTGAGAGACATTTTGCTTTCAGGGGAGGTGCTGTGTGTGGAGAACCAGACAGTGACTCAGGGCTGCTGTATGGGTACTGCATGGAGACTTTTTGAAGAGTAGGTGAAACATGGCTGGGCAAGGACCCTGTATGCAGCTGCTCCACCAGCAAATAGATCAGAGTGAAAGCACAGTTTTTGGAGAGAAATCGAACAGAGCAGGAAAAGTGCTTCCCCTGAACCTCTGTCAGCCATGCCAAGACACACTGGATCTATGGGTTCTTTCCTACTCAGACCATTGGGCAGAGAGATCAGAGAGACTGGCACAACATAGGGAGGGGAGACCAGAATAGAGATCCTGTTGAACAGATTGGGAGAGAAATCCAGTTTCCCCAGTCTAAAGTCTGTTAGAGGCACCCTGCTCCCCAGCATGAGCTAATCAGCTGCTACTGCTGTGGCTTGTGGAGAGAAACCTTGCAGAATAGGAAAATTGCTCTTAGATGGGTTCTGAAATTTTCTCAGCTGCATTAAGCCACACTATATCTCTGAGTCTGTTCCCACTGAGTCCAGCTGGGTAGAGAGACCAGACAGTTGCTCAACAAGGGGCTTGCTGGGTCCACCCAGCTTGTCCAACAAGTAATTCTGTGCAGAACATAGAAGTCTGGACTGTGAGCTGTGCAGAACATAGAAACATGGACTGTGTCTCATACAAAGGCAGTGTGCTGGGAGTTAGCTGGACAGCAGTTGAGCACCAAAGATTCTTTGCAATCAGGCAGACCCTGCCCCCCCGAGAGTACAAATCTCTGGGAAGATAAAGGTGTGCCCAGCCATTTCCTGCAGTATTGAAAATAGAACATCCAACAGGGAAAGTCTGCAGAACAGTCCTGCCAGGCTCAAGATCCCCCTGCAGCACACGTTTCCACAGGGCAAAGAAAAGGAAACTCCAAAAGGGGCCTTTCTGAACATTTCTCTGCCCTCGAACCACACTAGTTTCCTGGGTCCTATTCCATTGAAACCAGTTGGGCAGAGGAATGGAATTTGGTGCTACCAGGGGTATTCAGGGCCCCATCTCAGCTTGGATCTTCTACAGAGCTGCCATCAGCACCAAGCAGGAAAGAGCCAACCCTATTACACAGACTGGACCCTCACCTGAAATGGACAGGTAACTAACTGATCAGAAACTATACATTACTGGAAATAATCTAGGACAGATGAAGATGTGTACCACAAGGGCAAGGGAACAAAACCTACATCTTCCCTGAGCTGAACTAGCCTCCCAGGGGATGATCTGGGGGTCCCACCCTGCCAATTGCACTAGAAGTCCTCTCAGGAACAGACAGGTCAGTGGCAAACCCAAGGCTAATGGCAGAACTGCAGATAGAGACAGGTGGAGGTGGTACCTGTGGTGCTTTCACACATTAGATAACCCACCCCTGGGCCTTGTGCTGATAAAAAGCCAGCAGTTCAGACCCAAGAGGTCCATCCCAGACAATATCAAAGCCTGAAGGAGACAGCCAGAGACTGTGGATCACTTGTAACCTTGAAGAGGCTGCCTAGAGCTAGATGGGGACAGCACCTGATACTACCAGAGATGTAGCCAGAAGGAGAATCTAGCAGGCAAGCACCAAACTCTGCTGAAATGAATTTCACCTTGCTTTTTTTGTTATTTGTGTTTCTCTTTTGCATAGCTTTTTAACATTTTTTCCTTTTTCCTCAATTTGGTTCCTGTTTTTTCAGTATTTTTATTTTCAAGCTTATTTTATTCTTCCATTTTCTTACTTCATTTTGCCTTCTTCCTTCCCCTTCTGATTTTCATTTTAAAGTTTATTTTTGCTTTTGTTCACCTTGTTCCCATTTCTTATTCTTATTATTTCTCCTCCCTCTATCCTCTCAAAATTGTTTTTCTTTCCTTTTGTCATCTCATAGTCTTTTTTCCTTCTTAAAATATTCTTATTCTTTTTCCACTTCTATTAATGTTTGCCTGAGGAATTCTAACCTGCAACTACATGCATGGAACTGGAGACTAACATGCTATGTGAAATAAGCCATTTGGTGAAAGATAAATACCATATGATCTCACTTATAAGTGGAATCTATGGGGGGGGAATCATGAACGTGAGGCAATAAAAGTAAAACTAATGAGCAAAATAGAACCAGAGACATAGCATCATGGAATAGACTGCAGCTGGTGAAGGGGAGGAGGAAGGTGGAAACTGTTTGAAAGAAGGAGAAGGGATTCATCAAAGAACATATAGAAAGGACCCATGGAGATAAACAACAGTGTGGGAATTGACTACAGAAGTGGGGGTGCAGGCTGGGTGAAGGTGGGCTACAGGGAAACATAGGGACAACTGGAACAGCATAAACAATCACAGAAAATGTGCTGAAAGTCATCCAGCTAAAGTCAGAGCCAGAATTTGAACTCAAGAGTTTGACTGCAAGCTGGTGATTTTCATCATGATATTTATTGCTTTCTGTCCTTCCACTTCTGAAATTATCTCAGATCTAATATCATTTCTTAAAGGTAATGAAAGAAAACAAAGAAACTATATGAAAATGTTAACCATTATTATCTCTGAGTAGTGAGGTTATCAGTGATCTCTTAAAAAGTTAATCCATACTAAAGGCAAATTCCATTTACAGGGAAAACAATTTATGTGAAAAAAAATATGAGTCAGGCGTTGGGCTATACTTTTAGGCCAGCCAGCCTCTTAGAAGCCTAAGTATCACAACACCAGTTCTGAGCAATAAGTCATTTACACCCCTTCTCTACATGTGAGCCCTTTCAGGGATTCAAGGATGTCTATGGGGGTACAAGCTTGAGTCAGAAAACACTTGAAATTGAATTTATACTTGATACCTACTTTTCTCCTCCTCCCAAGCCTCAGCAATTCCACTGACTAGGGTAAAAATGATGTATGTTCCTTGAGATTTTATCTATTTAAACCTCACTAGACTAACACAGAAATGTATTTCATTAAAAAAAAATAACCTCTGACCCGGCTGCCCCAGCTCAGTGGATTGAGTACCAGCTTGTGAACCAAAGACTTGCTGGTTCGATTCCCAGTCAGGGCACATTCCTAGGTTTCAGTCTAGGTACCCAGTAGGGGTGTATGAGGGGCAACCACACATTTATGTTTCTCTTTCTTTCCTTCTCCCTCCTTTCCCCTCTGTCTAAAAATATATAAAATCTTCTTTAAAAAACTCCCTGAATTGGTTCAAAATATTAGTTGAGACCAGTATTGTTAAGCAGATTACAAAAATTTATCCTTTTTTGAACCTTTCCTCCAGTCTCCAGGTTTTCAGTCCTCGGTACCCCACTTCCTCACTCTGCAATTCCACTGAGTTGTGACCGCAAAGTGCTGAGTTCATTCATTTCTATCTATTCCTAGAAAGCATTTCCACAAAGGAAAGGATATGAAATAAAACTCTCATAATTGCAGTACATATATCCATAGAAGGAAAACATTTATTGACACATAAAACGACAACCCAATATACTTTTGTGCACCTTGGTCTCCATGGTTCGCCCACTTCTCCCACTGTATTCTACCTGCTGTTCCTTCCATCTGTCTGTTTCTCTGTCCCTGTCTCTCTGTCTCTCTCTCTCTCACAGATCGCAAATATAACCATACACACACACAAATACCCGAAGACTTTTCTGTTAATATTTAATATTTATATGTCTGTATCATTCATGTGTTCATTTGAACCTTACCATCAGTAATTATTATATTTAGGTTACAGATGAGGATCTGAGTATGGACAGTAGCAGAGTATAAAGAATAGCAGATAAATGTGTGAAGTGAAACTCGGGAAACTTTCTTTAATGGAGGTTGTGTGCTCACTGGAGGCAATGGGGAGATGATATGAGAGGGCAGGTCAGAGAAGGCATTCCTGGGAAGAGGGTGAAGTGGGAAGGAAATGAACAAGCCCCCCAGGGGTGGCCTGCTGAGTTGTAGATGACAATACATCAGGAGCCAAAGGGTCTGCTCTTCCATCACACAGGAACAAAGCAGATCTGGTAAGGAGGGGGCACAGAAGCAAATCCATTGACAACTGGGGTGATGTCGATGTCCTTTGGGTTGACCACAGGCTTCAAGGTAAATTTCTGTAAAATGGTGGTGAGGAATAAAAACAGCTCCATGCGGGCCAGGCTCTCTCCTGCACACATCCGTTTTCCTGAAAATAACATACACACAGAGTAGATACTCCTTGAATGCTCATTTTCTGGATGCCAAAAAGAGAATGTGCAGGAATTATATGATTAATGGTTGAATGGGAGGATGGAAGTCAGAATAGTTGGAAAAAACAGATGGGAAAAGGGTGGACATATATCCAATCCACCTAACATCCTATCCACCTTATCCAAAAAGGGACCCTTCTTTTTTTTAAGATTTTATTTATTTATCTTTAGAGGGGAAGGGAAGGAGAGAAGGAGAGAAATATCATTGTATGGTTGCCTCTCATGAGTCACCTGCTGGGAACTGGCCTGCAACCCAGGCGTGTGCCCTGACTGGGAATCAAACTGTGATTGTGTGGTTCGTAGGCCTGCGCTCAATCCACTGAGCTACACAAGCCTTCTTTCAACAAATATTTATTGAGTATCAGCACTATGCCAAATATTTCATGTAGTGTTTCATAGTGTAACTTTATTTAAGTGTCTATCAATCTTTTTGTAGAAACGCACATACATTGATTGTACTTTCTGTTCCTAGTCTGATGTTTCATGATCCTTCTTGACACCTTCTGCTCTTGCTCTAAGTGTACCTACTCTTCATCGATCTCCAACACACTCTGAAGTTCTGAGTTCTATATAGAACAGTTCTAATACTATTCTTTTTGTTTGGGTTGCCTGTACTTTTCTTTCAGTACCAAGCTCCATGTTCATTTCTGATTTGGAAGAAGTGAGTCAACTCTCCAAAGTGGCAGTGATGTGGCCTAACAGTGAGGCTGTACCATCATGAGGAAAGTGACTGGGCATTGGCAGGGGAGCTTCTGGTCATGAACAAAGAGCAAGCCTACCAGTCCTAGAGTGAGCAGTACAGAAGTTCAAACTGATCGTCACAACATACTCTGTCCTATGAAGTACAAAAGACAACAAATGTGTATTACCTGCTGAGAAAGGCATGAAGTAGTCACTCTTCTTAAAGTTGCCTTTCTCATCCAGGAAGTGGCCAGGGTCAAACTTCTCTGGGTTGGGGAATTCTTTGTCATCATGCAGTATGGAAGTCAGAGCTGTTAGTATGGTTGTGCCCTGGAAAGAAGAGAAGAGAAACTGAGTTATGAAAAAGTCATGGAGCTCAAAGAAATGTCACTTAGTCCAAAACTATGATCTGTAGATGAGGAAACTTAGGTCCAAAGAAAGGAAGTGGCATTTGAGCCAGAGAGAATAAGTAATAAGTAATGATCAGTTTAAGACCAGTGGCAGTGATATTGCTATTGTGAATTCCAATAGCATTGGAAGAACAGAGTCCATGGGTCCTAGGGTATCGAACTTTGTAAATCCATTCTGCTTTTCACCATGTTTGGACACTGGTGTATGACCCCACCAGCTACTTTATTTTGCACTTAAATCTTCATTCACCTCGTATGTGGATTATGGTTTGAAATGGAAGTCTTGGTCGGACCTTAACATTTCTGGAGTTATCTCTTTATAGGGCTTTTATTAATAGACAGCTGATCTAATTTTTAAAATCTGGGATAACAATAAGTACAGTAGCAACTATTAGTGCTATCATTGTCATGTACATTGTCTTAATTAAAAAATATAGAAACAGAGAACACACTGATGGTTGCCAGAGGGTGGAATGGTAGAGGGATGGTTAAAAAAGGTGAAGATCAATATAATCAATAATAGTGTGATTAAGTTTGAATGGCAACAGATGGTCACTAAACTTAGTGTGGCAAGAACATCAAAAGATAAATAAATGCTGAATAGTCACAAGGATGTAAAAGTATAGCATAGGGATTATAGTCAATAATATTGTAATAACTGTAGGTGGTGCCAGGTGGGTACTGGAATTTCTGAGGTGGGGAACACTTTGTAAAGTATATGATTGTCTAACCACTATGCTAAACACCCAAGGCTAATACAAACTAAGATTGGATGTAAACAATGAACATAGTAACAAGCAAAATAGAACCTGTGACATGAAAGTAAAGAATAAACTGGCAGTGATCATAGGGGACAGGGGAGAGGGTGATAGGAGAAAAAAGACGGAGGGGTAAGTCAAGGGAAATGAATAGAGGACCCAGGGGAACAATGGAGTGGGGAGAGTGGGCTGGGATGGGGCAGGGTAGGGTAATAGGGAAACAGTTGGGACGACTGCAACTGAACAACAATAATAAAATATTAAAAATTAAAAGATACAAGGACAAAAAAGAAAGAAAATTTAAAAAAATAAATTGAGTTAGTATGTCATATACCTAAAATTATTATAATATTGTATGCCTATTTTTTTTTAATTTTTATTTATTTATTTTTAGAGAGAGGGGAAGGGAGGGAGAAAGAGAGAGAGAAACATCAATGTGTGGTTGCCTCTCATGTGGCCCCTACTGGGGACCTGGCCCACAACCCAGGCATGTGCCCTGACTGGGAATCGAACTGGCGACCCTTTGGTTCGCAGCTCACGCTCAATCCACTGAGCTACACCAGCCAGGGCGTATGCCCATATCTTTAAGTATATTTTATTGATTATGCTATTACACCTGTCCAAGTTTTTCTCCCCTTTATCCCCCTATGCCCTGTAACCTGCTCTGTCCAGCAATCCCCACCTTAGTCATGTCCATGGGTGTCGTACATATAAGTTCTTTCACGTCTCCATTTCCTGTTCTATTCTTAACCTCTCTATTTTGTGACCACCAATTATACTTCTTATTCCCTGTACCTTTATCTCTCATTCTCCACTCATTCCCTCCCCACTAATATCCTTCCCTGTGATCCCCATTTTTGTGATTCTCTGCCTGATTTAGTTGTTTGCTTAGTTTGTTTTTGTGTTTGTTTTTAGGCTCAGTGGTTGATAGTTGTGAGTTTCTTGTTATGTTACTGTTCATAGTTTTGGTCTTTTTCTTCTATAAGTCCCTTTAACATTTCATATATTAAGGGCTGGGCGATGATGAATTCCTTTAACTTGACCTTATCTGGGAAGCACTTCACCTGCCCTTCCATTCTAAATGACAGCTTTGCTGGATAGAGCAATCTAGGTTGTAGGTCCTTGCTTTTCATGACTATGAATACTTGTTTCCAGCCCCATCTTGCCTGTAAGGTCTCTTTTGAGCAATCAGCTGATAGTCTTATGGGAACGTTCTAGGTAACACTTTCCTTTTCTCTTGCTACTTTTAAGACTCTCTCCTTATCTTCAATCTTGTGTAATTTAATTATGATGTGTCTTGCTGTGTTTCTCCTTAGACCCAACTTCTTTAGGACTCTGTGAGCTTCCTGGACTTCCTGGAAGTCTATTTCCTTTGTAAGACTGGGGAGGTTTCCTTCATTATTTTTTCAAATAAGTTTTCAATTTCTTGGTCTTCCTCTTCTCCTTCTGGCACCCACACAATATGGATGTTGGAATGTTTAAAGTTGCCCCAGAGGGTCCTCAGCCTCTCCTTATTTTTTTTGAATTCTTGTTTTTTCATTCTTTCTGGTTGAATGTTTATTTCTTCCTTCTGCTCCAAATTGTTGATTTGAATCCCAGTTGCCTTCTCCTCACTCTCAGTTCCGTGTATATTTTTTCTTTATTTCACTTCACATAGGTTTCACTTTTTTTATTTGCTGTTCATGGTCAGTCATTTCTGTGAGTATCCTAATTATCAGTATTTTGAACTCTTCATCTGATAGGTTGGATATCCCTTCATTTCTTAGTTCTTTTTCCGGGGTTTTGATCTATTCTTTCATTTGGGTCTTATTTCTTGGTCTCTGTGCACGGTGTAAGGGGCAGAGTTTAGATATTCGCCAGTGTGAAGTAACCAGGTCACTGCATTGTGGAACTGTATGTGGGTAAGTGGTCAGAGAGGAAACAGTGCTGCTTCCTTGGCTCTCTGTGGCTTTCAGTCACTTCCCCCACTGCCCACAAGCAAATTTTCCCTTTTGGTGCTGATTCCCTCCCTGGTGGGTGGGTTCGTGTACATTCTAGGACCTTGTGGGTCTGTCCAATGAACTCTCCTGTGAGGCTGTGAGTACCTGCCCTTGGAGCAAATGCCCTCCAGTTTTTATAGGCAGACATTTTGATGCTTTCTTTTCCCACACTGGAACCCTGGGTTGCATGGTCTGTCTCACTTCCCAGTTGTTCCACCTGGTTTATCTGCACGCAAATATGGGACTGCCTGGTCCACCAGTCACCACCTTGCCTGCCTTGGTCCACCAGCTGCAGCCTCTCTTACCTGGTCTTCTGCTGCTGCCTTGCCACTTGTCCTCTCCACCTCTGCTTGCTGGTCTCTGCCCTTCTGCCATTTGGTATGAATACATTTTCCCTTAACACCTTGTTTTTTTAAATTTCAATAGAGGTTGATTTTTCTGGCAGTTCTGGTTGCTTTCTGTTTTTAAATTTGTTGTCCTTCTTTTGGTTGTGCAAGGAGACAGAGTGTATCTACCTATGCCTCCATTTTGGCCAGAAGTAGAAAAATGTTAAAACTAGAAAAAAAAATCATAACTTTGCAACAAATCAACTCAGGGTTCTTAATTCAGTCAAGTTGTATCAATTAATGCTAAAACTGTTGGCTGAATAATTGGAAAGCATGATATTCACAAAGCCCTAAAGTACCATGCTATGGAATTTTATTAATGAAGTGTGAAAAACAGAACCTCTGCCATGGAGAGGTATGGCAGATACCACTTTATCAGGTGAGGAACATAGCACAGACAATAATGGGGTAAGTGACATTATGTGTCCCAAACACCATCCCCCAAAATGAGTCCCAGTGGGACACATACAGCACCTATGTAGGTCTCTTGCCAAGAGTGTAACGGGAATCTAATTTCTAGAAAACAGCCACACAAAACCAGCCTGAGGGATATTTTCCATGACTACTGGCCTAGACCCTTCACAAAGTTATATGTATTGAAAGGAAAGAAAGAGAGCAAAGGGAACAGATAACAGGACACTAAAAGGAAAAGATAACCAAATTTCATGCTTCTTCCTTGCCTGGATACTGAATTGCCAAGAATGGAAAACTATAAATAATATTCTAGGAAAATTGTGGAAATTAAATATAGGCTGTATGTTAGATAATATTCTTTTATGAATGATAACTTTTGAGTATGAATGCTATTACTTTCCCATATCCAAAAATCACTGCTAGTGGGATAAGTAAACTCAAATATTGAGATAGTGATTGATAAAAAGACAAATATAACAGTAAACCTATAAATGATTTATATATTATATCTATGCATATGTTTTAGATTAAAAATTTTTATCATGTAAAGTTGAGAAATAATTCCCTCAAGTTTGTCATATAAAAGGTCTGCAACTATAGGTTTAAAATTATTCCCTTGTGTATGTGTGTGTATACTTATATAAATATGTGTGTGTATCTGTATCCTCACTTGAGGATATTTTTCACTTGATTTTTAGAGAGAGAGAGAGAGAGAGAGAGAGAAAGAGATCAATGTGAGACAGAGAAACATCAGTTGCTTGTTCCCATACACACCCTGACTGGGCATGAAACCCACAGCTTTAAGGTCTTTGGGAGCTATCCCAAACCAATGGAGCTATCCAGCCAGGGCTTCCATGTATATTTTCAAACCAATAATATGTGAAATTTTTCAAGACACCAAAAAATACAAAGGCCAGTGTGTTTCCATCAAGTGCTGCTCAAATGACTGAATACTCATAAAGAGATACAAGAATCAGGACCAGTACTTCACACCATAAGTCAAAATTTACCTGAATAGATCAATAATCTACATGTAAGTGCTAAAACTAGAAACTTTCGGAAATAGATAATGGTCAATCTTTGAGATCTTGTTTTGGCAATATTCTTTAGATAGGATCCCCCTCCCAAAAAAGCACAAATTAGCCTCACATCATTGCAAAGTGTTCTGTCGATAGTCTTAGATATCGACAAATAATGAGCCATGCATTTCAAATACATGACTAAGTGGCCACAAGAAGAAGAGAAGAAGACAGTCAAAATAAACCCATCATGGCACATTTCTCACATACATGGGTGAATCTAACATACCTAAGATCAGAAATATGACAAGAAAATTTTGAAGAGGAAAAATTGTAGACCAAAATATTCTTATCAATATAAATAATAGAAGTGCTGAACAATATGTAGCAAATCAAATCTGGCTGAGTATGTATACTTAGAAAATGAACATTAAGTGGGAGAAGTGAGTCCAATATACAACTATTCCAAAATATGCAGAGAATTGATATGAAAATAGTACATACACAGTCATGACAAAAAATCAGGAGAATAAGAAAAGATGGCAAAGTTTCCAATTTAATGAAGAATATCTACCACCCTGGCTGGTGTGGCTCAGTGGATTGAGTGCCAGCCTGCAAACCAAGGGGTTGCAGGTTTGATTCCCAGTCAGGGCACTTGCCTGGGCTGTGGACCAGGTCCCCAGTAGGGGGCGCCAAAGAGGCAACCACACATTGATGTTTCTCTCCCTGTTTTTCTCTTCCTTCCCCTCTCTTTAAAAATAAATAAAATCTAAAAGAACCCCATTGTCTATGAAAATGTACATAAAACATCATTCTGGATAGCAAGGTGTTAAACCTCCTCTTTCCTGAAAACCAGAGATAAGAAATAAACAAAGACATTAGCTCAGATAACAAGATAATGTATTTAGAATTTACAGATTAATCTAGAGACAAATTATCAGCAATGATTTTAAATTTATGAAGGTTGCTGTATATAAGGTCATGAAAATATGAAAATCCATTATATTTCTAAGTAGTAGATTTTAAAAATGGAAAAGGAATTTAAACATTTATAATAACAATAGTAATGCTAAATACCTATGAAAAAGCAAACAAAAGATTTGTAAGCCAATGCCCAACATGCTAAAAAAGTATTCAGAAATTTTGAAAAGTCCCCAACCCCCAACTAGGAGCATATACCATATCTATCAAGTGAAAGATTCAATGTTTCATGATGTTAAGAATTCCAAATAAACTAATGTAACCCTGATAAAAATTTCAGCAGGTTGTTTTTGTAAATTGACAAACTGACACTAACATTCATTTAGAAATGTAAGCAGCTAAAATGAGCCAAACAATATTAAAGATGCAGACAAACCCTGATTGGTATGTCTTATTTGGTTGGGTGTCATTCTGCAAAGCAAAATTGGTCTGGTTCAATTCCTGGTCAAGGCACATGCCTCTGATGAGGGTTTGGTCCCCGGTCTGGGAGTGTAGGCAATGAGTTGAAGTTTCCCTCTCACATCAATGTTTCTGTCCTTCTCTTCCTCCCTCCCTTCTCTCCTCTCTAAAGATAATCAGATTTAAAAAGGAGCAGAACAAATCTTGAAGACCTACAGTGCCAGGTGTCCAAACCTATTATAAAGGTTCATAGTCTAAACTGGAAACCACACACAGTCCATCAAGCAGTCACATGTCTGATTTCTGCACTTCTCTCACCTTTGTTGGTGGAGGATGAAACCCATACTGTGAAAATGGGAACTTCAGGACCACCAAGGTCAGTATAAGAGAAACCTTACCTTGGGGATGAAGTAGTTTCTGAATTTAGTGTCACAAGTCACCGAATGCGGGAGGTTGTTGGGGATAAGGTCAATGTATCTCTGGGTCTCGTGCACCATGGCATCTGTGTAGGGCATGGAGCTCCTGTCCTGCATGCAGGGGTTCCGGTCTCTGCCAACCACACGGTCAATCTCTTCCTGGACTTTAGCTGTAAGACACAAGTAAGACTGATGGGAAAAGAGAAAAATGCATACCAGAATTACATACTGATCCAGGGAATATGAAGCACTATGAAAGTGTCTCAGCATCATTATAAACATCAGTTATATGCCCAGAAATACACCTAGCCAAAGAGTGATAATTGCTGGAGTAGATACACGTAACTCTTCTACAGAGTAGGCTTAAGATATATTACCCATATCTTAATATATCTTAATGTAGGATAGTATAATATTACCCTACATATCAGCATATATGATAATATAAACAGAAATGATGAGATGTTACAAAATATAAGCTGAATATAAGTCAAGAAATTATCTTTTTTTTAAATTTTATTTAGTTATTTTTCAAGTACAGTTTTTTGTTTATTTTTCCCATTCCAGCCTCCCCCGCCCCTTGCTCCCCACCTCCCTCCCATTTCCACCCCCCTTAGTTCTCGTCCCTGTGTCCTTCCTATTTGTTCCTCCAAATCCCTCCCCCTTTTTCCCCTTAAACTTCCCTTCCTTCTCCCCTCTGGTCACTATCCCCTTGTTCTCTATTTCAGTGTCTTTGTTGTTTTTTTTTCTGCTTGCTTGTTTGTTTTGTTGTTTAGCTTCCTGTTAAAGGTGAGATCATATGGTATTTGTCTTTCAGCACCTGGCCTATTTCACTCAGCATAATGCTTTCCAGTTCCATCCATGTTGTTGCAAATGGTAGTAGCTCCTTCTTTCTCTCTGCAGCATAGAATTCCATTGTGTATATGTACCACAATTTTTGGATCCATTCATTTACTGATGGGCACCTAGATTGCTTCCAACTCTTGGCTATTGTAAATTGTGCTGCTATGAACATTGTGGGGCATAGGTTCTTTGATATTGATGTTTTAGGATTCTTAGGATATAATCCCAGCAGTGGAATTGCTGGGTCAAAAGGCAGGTCGATTTTTATTTTTCTGAGAAAATTCCATACTGTTTTCCATAATGGTTGTACCAGTCTGCAATCCCACCAACAGTGAACTAAGGACCCCTTTTCCCCACAACCTCTCCAACATTTGTTGTTTGTTGCTTTGTTTATGATAGCCATCCTGACTGGTGTAAAGTGGTATCTCATTGTGGTTTTAATTTGCATCTCTCTGATAGCTAACGATATTGAGCATCTCTTCATGTGTCTCTGAATGTTCTGTATGTCCTCCTTGGAGAAGTGTTTGTTCAAGTCCTTTTCCCATTTTCTAATTGGGTTGGGTGTCTTCTTAGAGTGGAGTCGTGTAAGTTGTTTGTATATTTGGGAGATTAAACCTTTGTCTGAGGTATCATTGGCAAATATGTTTTCCCATACAGTTGGTTGTCTTGCTAATTTAATACTGTTTTCTTTAGCCATGCAGAAGCTTTTTATTTTGATGAGATCCCATTTGTTTATTCTTTCCTTTACATTCCTTACTCTAGGGGACATATCAGTAAAGAAGTTGCTGCGTGAAATATCTGAGATTTTCTTGCCAATGTTCTCCTCTAGGACTTTAATGGTGTTATGACTTACATTTAAGTCTTTTATCCACCTTGAATTTATTTTGGTGTATGGTGTAAGTCTGTGCTCAGGTTTCATTTTTTTGCATGTAGCTGTCCAGTTCTCCCAACACCATTTGTTGAAGAAGCTATCTTTACTCCATTTGATGTTACTGCCCCCTTTGTCAAATATTAATTGACTGTAGAGAGTTGGGTTGATTTCTGGGCTCTCTGTTCTGTTCCATTGGTCTATGTGCCTGTTTTTATGCCAGTACCAGGCTGTTTTGATTACAGTGGCCTTGTCATACAGTTTGATATCAGATATTGTGATCCCCCCCTACTTTGTTCTTCTTTCTCAAAAGAGCAGCTGCTATTCAGGCTCGTTTATGGTTCCATATAAATTTTTGAAGTGTTTGTTCTATGTCTGTGAAATATGCCATTGGTACTTTAATAGGTATTGCATTGAATCTGTATATTGCTTTGGGTAGTATGGACATTTTGATGATGTTAATTCTTCCAATCCATGAACAAGGTATATGTTTCCATTTGTTTGTGTCTTCCTTGATTTCGTTCTTCAGGGCTATGTAGTTTTCTGCATACAGGTTTTTTACCTCCTTAGTTAGGTTTATTCCCAGATATTTTATTTTTCTTTTTGCTATATCAAATGGGATTTTTCTCTTTATTTCTGCTTCTGCTGATTCACTGTTGGTATACAAAAATGCCTTTGATTTCTGGATATTGACTTTGTAACCAGCTGTTTTGCCAAACTCATTAATTAGTTTGAGCAGTTTTAGGGTAGAGTCTATAGGATTTTCCATGTACACTATCATGTCATCTTCAAACAGTGACAGTTTTGCTTCCTCCTTTCCTATTTGGATGCCTTTTATTTCCTTTTCTTGCCTGATCGCTGTGGCTAAAACTTCCAATACTATATTGAATAGAAGTGGTGAAAGTGGACAACCTTGTCTTGTTCCTGATCTTAGTGGAAAAGCTTTTAGTTTTTGCCCATTGAGTATGATATTGGCTGTAGGTCTCTCATATATGGCCTTTATTATATTGAGGAATGCTCCCTGTATTCCCACTTTGCTGAGTGTTTTTATCATAAATGGGTGTTGTATCTTATCGAAAGCTTTTTCCGCATCTATTGATATGATCATGTGATTTTTGTCTTGGCTTTTGTCTATGTGATGTATTACATTTACTGATTTGTGAATATTGAACTATCCTTGCATCCCTGGGATGAATCCTACTTGATCATGGTGTATGATCTTTTTGATATATTGTTGGATGCGATTTGCCAATATTTTGTTGAGGATTTTAGCATCTATGTTCATCAGCGATATTGGCCTGAAGTTTTCTTTCTTTGTTGTGTCTCTATCTGGTTTTGGAATTAAGATGATGCTGGCTTCATAAAAAGAATTTGGGAGTTTTCCATCCTTCTGGATTTTTGCACCCCGACTCTGGTTCCACCCACCTGGGTAGGTTCCAAGACTCCGGTTTCAGGAGCCCCGGAAGCCCCCAAGGCCCCTTTCACCTTCAAGCATGGGGGCACCACAAAGCTGCCCTCTACCCAGTGGGGGTGGTTCACTGAGGCTGCAGTTACCAATGCAGGTGGAGAGCAGGCTCTGCCCACATGTGAAGGTGGGGGCTCTGCTGCTCCGTTTTCAGGAGCCAGAGAGGCTCCTGGGAACCCCTGCTGCAGTGGGTGAGCAGAGCCCCCTTGCAGAGGCTGCAAATCCATGTTGGAGACTTCTCCCACTTGCAGGGCAGGAGAAGCCATAGTGGGCCTCACCTCCCCAGAAAGCAGTGTCACCACGGGAGACACTGCTGTCTGGGGTCCCTCATTCCCTGGGTTCAGAGCATTAATGAGGTTTCTTTCCTCATCATCTTTCTCCTCCTGAAATCTATCAGGGAGGGATTCTAAGACCCCTTTCTCCTTCTGGACCATTACACACTTCTCTGTAGAACTACTCATACAGTTCCAACAAAGCAAACATAGATTCAGAGCAAAAAGAATACAGATGGCGTAAAGACCAGGTATTTCCCCTGCTATCGCCCACAATTCCAGCTCCATTATTGCCAAAGAGCAGTCAGAAACCAAGTTTTCAACCCAAAACACTTTCACGTCTCTGCTCCCTTCCCCGTTTTGTTTCCTTTTCACCTTTCCAGGCATGACTAGGCGGCCGATGCCCTCAGGAGCGCAGAGAAATCCTCAGAGACTGGGAAAATTCCAAAGCCTCACTCTCTCGCACCTGAGGGGGTCGGTCTGCCACGGACAATTATCGTCCCGGCGGAGTCGCCAAAAACTGTTACCGAACAAGAGGAGGTCCGAGGGAGGGGCAATACAATATTTGGCCCACCTAGGGATGCCCAAAACTGCTATACAACAGGGGCCCCTCCCAAAAACAAAATACTAAAATCTACTGGGCCCTTCTGTCCGCCGCCAATTGGAAAGACATTTCTTAATGCCAGAGATTTGTGAAAAGGAAACAAAATGTTTATTTAATGCTATTCAGGCCTAATGCCACCACTAAAATATCAAAGTCCTTTAAGTTGTACACCTACACCCACACAGCGCTCCCTTCTCCCACTGTCCCAACTCTGGGTACCGTAAATCAGGAAAAGAGCACACGTCTGTGTTGCAGGTCGCTGGCACCATCAGCTGTGTCACTGTGCAGGATCTTGAGTTAATCCAAAGTACTGTGGTACCCTCTCATGGTCCACTGGCAAGAGTCCTTTGTACGCAGTTCCAATCAAAGTCTCTCTTGCTTTTCAGGCCCCGCGGCCAAATGGAGCACCCCAAAGCCGCGTGGGCCTCTTCTACCAAAGCTGTAGGAGTCCGCACTCCACCAAAAGCATGTGGCTTTCTTCTTCACCTGGCTGCAGGGATCTCCATTCTGGCAAAGCTGCGTGGTTTTCCCCCTCACCTGGGAAAGAGGGGGTCCGCACCCTGCCAAAACCACATGGCTCCCTCTTCCACCTCACCAAGAGGGGGGCCTCACTCTGCTGAAACTGCGTGGCTCTCCCTTCATCTGGCCAAGCGGGGGCCCTTCATGTCTTGGAGCCAGTCTTCTCCAAGCTCTCACCCAGGCCTTCTCACTCAGGAGTCCCTTGTTACCTTCTGAGTCCAAACCCTTCTCACTCAGGAGTGCAGCCCCTAGTTACATTCTGAGTCCTAGCTACTCCCTTCTCCCAAGAAATTATCATTTTTACAGGAACAAACCAGGAAATCAAATATTAATTTTATATCAAAGTAATATGTGGGTTGAAAAACTTAATGACAGTGTGTGTTCTGTGTGTGTGTTGTTGTTTGTGCATGTGTATGACTTGTAATGATACTCTCTTCATCTTCCGACTTGACAGTGTTACCAATGTAAACATTCTAGCAGTTTCTCCTGAAATATATGTTCAGTTTCTAAACAAAGATTCACTCTGTATTTCGTACTCACCTATTTTTAGACAATGTCTGATTTCCTGGTATGGAAGGCGAGAGTTTACTTCTCCAAACCCACCTCATGCAAATACACACAGACGCACACACAATTCCTCTTACTCCATATCCACCCCCATATCCACTCCCTCCCACCTAGTTAGGTTACATTTTAACACCATTCTGACTACATAAACAATCCATGATTTTCTTTCACTTTTGGCACTTTTGTTGGACTTACCCATGATTATTTCATTCAATTCATAATTTTCTGTACCTCAATTTTAATTATTTCTAAATTCTGAGGTCAATATTTGCAACTTGTAATAATAATGTTCTATTATTAGGACCTCTCAGATAATCAATCACTTGTTCTTGGTGTCTCCTTTCACACTTGCATTATCTCCCTAATCATTTTGAAGTGGATAGTTTCCAGGCCTGATGTTGACAACTTCCTTGCCAATTTCATTCTCTTTTGAGCCCTCCTGATTCCTGAGCCCATGGCTTCCTCTGACAGGACGTCAGACATTTGGATGACAAGAGAGAAGTAGGGGTAAAGTTTCTGTCACACGTACAGGTCTGAGACTATGCCCTTTTTATTCACACACAGTTTCACAGTTGCTCTTGAGAAATCTGAGGGTGCTCTGAATCTCTCCTTACACATGACATGATGTAGTTCTCTGGGAGTTTTTGTGATTTTCGTTTTAATCCTGGTGTTCTGAAATTCTATGGTTCTCTGTCTTGGGTTGGATGTTTCCTTTTTCATTCACCCACACAGCAAACTGTAGAAGTTTTTCCTCCAGAGCTGTTCACTCTCTGCAGGTATTTTTAAATCTGGCTGCTGACTTTCAGGAAGCAGGATGGAGAAAGAAGCTAAGAGTCTCTGTATTCAAGAAAGAGATTCTTCCTGAACCTTTCTTTTCAGCCCTACACCGCACTCTTTCCCTGTCACTGTCCAGTGTCCCTGAGTGTAGGGTTCTCAGGTTCCATTTCTCCATAGGGTAAACCTCCCTCATTGTGTTGGGCAAAAACAGTTACTTGATAAAAGAAGCTGTCAAAGGGGCCTGGTTAGGGAGAGCTACCTTTTCACTCTGTGTCTACTGGTTGACCCTTTGTTGACCCTTGGTACTTCTAAATACCAAAATGTACAGGGATGCAGGGACACACAAATAACTTTTCCTCTTCATGTATCTTCCTCTTCTGACACCAAGGTTACAATTTCATCCTATCAAGTTCCTTATCTCTCCTTAATATGCTCTCTGTGTTTGAGACATTTGCTGGAGATCTGTTGGCTGTTTCCTGACCTCCTCAAATCTAGCTTTAAAAAACTAGTTCTCATTTGTAATAGGTTATAATCTTTTGAGTGGGATTTTAACACTGGACAAAATAATGTGTATTTCTAAACTACTATGCATTACCATACTGTTTAAAAGTAAGTTTCTGACAGTAACCAGAGTGGAGGGGGAGAGGGATAATAGAGGATAAAAGAAGAAGAAACATCAAGAAACATATATAATGGACCCATGGACAAAGAAAAAGGGGGTAGGTTCAAGGGTAGGAGGCCAAGATGGGTGGGATGTGTGGCATAGTGAGGTGAAAATGGACACAACTGTACTTGAAAAACTATACAAAAATTTTAAAATGTAAATTTCTGACATAAAATGATTTGTATGAGATCAAATTATTTACCAACCTGCCTCAAATTCTTATTTTGGCAATCACTATCATTATAGATACACACTTTTGAAGTAACAAAATTGCTTTATTGTTCCCTAATAAAATTTAGTTATTTTATTTTATTAATTTTATCACTAGTTTTAATTTTTATTATTGTATTGTTATTCAAGTACACTTGTCTCCATTTTCACCCCACTACACCCTCCCACCCCACCCATCCCTGCCTCCCACCCTCAAAGCCACCCCTTTCGCTTTGTCCATGTGTCTTTCACACATGATCCCTGATGGCCCCTCCACTACCCCCTATTATTTCTCTCCTTAAACCCCTCTGATTACCGACAGATTGAAATAAAGAACAAATAACAAAATTCCATTATGCAACATCTTTTTTTGTAATCATCACCCAAGGATATTTTTTTTAATTGCTTTTAGAGAGAAAGAAAAGGAAAGGAGAGAGAGAAACATCAATTAGTTGTCTTCTCAAACATGACCCAGCTGGGGATTGAACCCACAACCTGGGTACTGTAGGGAATACAATACTGTATCATGGAAATGTAGCTCAGCCCTCACATGGAAAACCAGTGGGGACTGAGTTGGCACGAAGGACCATGCACGTGGAGAGTTTTTCTCATGGCGAATCAGGCCTGCATTGTACATAGGCCACTATGAGGCTTGCTTTTGCTAAAACTCCCTCACCCTAAATTGAGGCTCAGGTGCTTACTACAGCTTCCTACAATGTGAGCTAAATCTCCCAAGTATGGAGTGTTAATGATCCAACCACCATTCCCTTTACATTTGCAAATCTCCTCTTTCTTTCATGGAATTAGCAACATCCCATCCTTTGTTGCCTGTAAAAGGTAACCACCTACTGGGAAACTGTGCATAGTAAATGAGGACTACCCTCCATGTAATGAACCCAGGAAAACAGTTAAAGCCTGTCAAGGTGGGGGTCAGGGGACCCTTTCTCTCTGACTCAGAGAATGGCCATGCCATCCTTTTTTTCCCCACAGAATTTCTATAGTCCGTGTGTATTGGTTCATTGGCAGCCGTGACATACACAGATCCTGCTGGCCAGCATCCATCACAGGATATGAGCTCTGACTGGGACCTGAACCTGTGACCATTCTGCCTGTGTAATGATGCTTCATTCAACCAACAGAGCCACTTTAGCGAGGGCTCGCAAATCTTAAGACTAAAGACTAACACTATTCTTAAAAACCTAACTTTTTAGAATATTTTCTAGACCATGGAATTTATCTTACACAGCCTAACTAAATTACTTGGATTTTAATTTATGCTTCAGTTAGGACAGTTTCCACTAGAACCCTGCAATTTCAGAATGAAGAGAGATCTATGTGGGAATACTCCTACTGTTCAAAGTGAATAAATAACATTTTCATAAAAAATAATAAGTAGTTCTCACCCTAATTGGGGCTCAGTTGATAGGAGTATCATCCTTACACCAAAACATTTTGGGTTCCATCTCCAGTCAGGACATATACCTAGGTGGTGGGTTTGCTCCCTGGTCAGGCTGCATATGGGAGGCAACAGATTGATGTTTCTTTCACATCGAGGTTTCTCTCCCTCTCTCTTTCTCTCTGTTGTAATCAATTAAAAAACATATCCTCAGGGGAGAATTTAAAAAACTGCAGTCCCAGGTGCATTCATCCTGGCTGGGCCTGCCACATTAACCTCCTATGAAATCCAGACACTGCTTTACTGCTTCTGCTACTGCCCAGTATCTTCACTACTCTGTCACCTCTCTGTGTTATAGAAAGATGTCCATTATTATCCCTTCTTTAAACATGGAACATTAAGCAGGTCAAACAGAAATTTTCATAATGACACTTCCCTAAGAGAAGCAAGATAGAATGCACTTGTCCACACTTCTTCTGAAATTTCCCCTTCCCACCAATTCTGGCATACCTGAGACTTCTGGGTGCTTCAGCAAAAGCAGAAGAGCATATCTCAGGGTGCTACTTGTTGTCTCTGTTCCAGCTCCAAAGAGATCAGTTACAGTGGCGGCCAAGTTTTCCAAAGTAAACACTGACTGTGGGTTGTGCTTTTCCTAGGAACAGTTTGATGAAATATCTAACACATTAATTTGTCATAATTATCATTAATCCTAAAGAAGTCACATTGTTATAAAGTTAAGGCAACATATTAACTGTAAGGTTAATATTTTATAAAACAAATAGCTGTATGGCATAACAAGAGACTGTAAATTTGTTGACACAAGCATCATTTTCTACTACCCTATCCCTCACTTGCCTAAATGTTCCTTCATTACCTCTTTTGCAGGTAGGTAAGCCATGCAGCCTAGTTATTTCTTTCAGATATAAGCAGAAGCCTATTAATAATGTCACTTTTCTACTTCCTCCTTCTTATGCAAAATAAATATGAGAAGGAGGAGGTAGACTAGACATATTCTTAGGATCAGAGGGCTTAGTCATATAATGAAGCCTGTTGATGAAGTGTGGGTGAAGAGAAATGAAAAGTATTTGATGTTTTGAGACTTCTGTACTATCCCTCTACTGACACATCACAAGACTCATTTTATGTGAGGTCAATAAACCCACTATTTGTTAAAGCCATTCTTAATAGTTTTCCTTTTATTTGTAGACAAACACAATCTTAATTGGTAAAAATAGGTAAGGAGGTGAAAGGCTTGTACAGTGAAAACTAAAGCCATTGTAAATCACAATGAGTAAATAAATGAAAAAACCATCCTACACACCAGTATTGGAAGATTTAATTTGGTAATATAGTAAAACTCCTTGAAATATATAAAGTTTTAATGCAACCCCATTACAATTCCAAAGATCTTTTTCCAGTAATGGAAAAACCCATCCTCCAAATTCCTGTGGAACTACAGGGGAAGGACGCAACTTCCCAATTTGAAAACTTACTACAAAGCTACCATAATCAAAACAACAAACTTCTGGCAAGAAGACAGAAAACAAAACCAAAGAAATAGCACTGAATTCTAGATAATAAACCAATAAACATATGGCCAATTTATTTTCAATAGGGTGCCATGACTATTAAATTCATAAGAAGAGTCTGTTTAGCAAATAGTGCTGGAATAACTGGATAACCCCATGAACATGGATAAACTTGGACCTCTGCTTTACTCCAAATGCAAAATAGAACTCAGAATAAATCAAAACTTACATCTGACAACAAAACCTATAAAATTCTTCAAAGAAAACCTGGGGAAAATCTTCACAAATTCAGGCTTGGATATAAATTCTTAGATTTGACACCAAAGAAACAAAAGACAAAATATGTAAGTCAGACTCCATCAAAATAAAAAGGTTCTACATCAAAAGAGATAATTAAGAATGTCAAGTGACAAGCTACAGAATGGGATAAAATATTTGCCTTTCACAAATGTATAAAGATTTAATGCCCAAAAGATATCAACAACTCTCACAGCTGTACAACAAAGACAAGCGACCCAGTGTTTAAGAGGCAAAGACCTGAATGGCATTTCTCCGAAGAAGATGGTCAAATGGGGAAGTGCATGTGAAAATATCTTCAACATCATTGGTCTCAAGGAAATGCAAATCAAAACCAAGAGTTATATTCTTATATGAACTAGAATAGCTTTAAGAATTACCAAAAAAAGTAGAAAATAAATATTGGCAAATATGTGGGAAAATAGGAACCCTGTTCAGACACTGCTGGTGAGAATGTAAATACTGTAGTCACTGAAAAAAGTTTGGCTGCTCCTCAAATATTATACATAAAATAACCTCATGTCTCATCAACTCCTATCTTAGAAATGTACCCTCTAAAATTAAATTATATCTATAAGTAAATGTGTACCCAACAGAAACATCCACCAATAGATAATGGGTAAACAAATCGTGATATATACATAAAATGGAATATTTTTTAGCCATACAATAGCAAAATACTGATACATATCATAACTTGAGGAACCTCCAAAACACCGTTCAAGGTGAGAGAATCTGGAAACAAAAGGTGACAGTGCTATGAGTGTTTTTAATATGGTATTTCTATAGCAGACAAATCCACAGAGTCATAAAGCACATTATAGGTTAACACATGATGGGGTGGGAGAAATGGGGAGAGAGCATTTAATGGATGTAGTGTGTTTTTGCAGAGTGGTGGGAAAGTTTTGAAATTAAAGAAAGCTAGTGGTTGCACAATATTGTGCAATGTACTAAATACCACTAAATTGTATACTTTAAAACGGTTAGTTGTATAATATGAAAATGTCACATCAGTTCTTCTAATGGTAGGTAACTTCATGAACTGAACTACATATTTAATGCAATCCCCAACAAAATACCACTGGCTTCTTTGCAGACCCTGACAAGTTTGTCCGAATATTTACATGGAAATTCAAGGAACCTAGAATAGCTAGAAAGTCTTGAAAAAACAACAGTTTTACAGGACTCACACTTCACAATTTCAAGACTTACTAAAAAGTTAGTAACTAAAACTACCACACAGTGTGCTACTGGAATAAGGACCAAGGCATAGATTATCAGAATAGAAACAGAATGGAATAAACGCACCCTTACATTTTCAGTAAATTGATTTTTCATGAGAGTACCAAGGCAATTCGTGTGGGAAAAAGTCTGTTCAACAGCCCTTGCTATTGTGGCTCAGTGGACTGAGTGCCATTCTGCAGTTCAGAGGGTCACTGGTTTGATTCCGAATCAGGCTATATGCAAGGGACAACCACACAGTGAAGTTTCTCTCCCTCTCTTGCTCCCTCCCTTCCCCTTTTTCTAAAAATAAATAAATAGATAAATAAATTTATAAAAGAAACATATGGTGGAGAATTCATGCTTACTAATACCAACCTCCAACTCCATTCCTATGCCATTTCATTTAGTTACACTCAACTAAGTCTTCTTCCTTCCATCCAGCTATTTATCTGTACATTCTCTGTACTTCTATTTCCACCATTCATCTATCTGAAAGTGCCTCCCCAGTTCTTCAGTCTAAATATATTAAGATTTAGGCTTTTGGGAAGATGGCGTCGGAGTAAGAGGGAACGGATTCTAGCTCCCGCACTCGTGGGTGAAAATCCTGGCAGATCTACAGAAAAGCAGCGCACTAATCCATCAGTTATCCAGCATTTGTGAAATTGAAAGAACAGAGACTCTGTTGGACGCTGAAACACCAGAAAGCGGCAGGTCAGTGGGGCTTTGGGGACCAGTTTAAAGACAAAGCAGCAGTGGCGGGGGCTGGCACCCCAGGCCAGGTGGCCCCGGTGCTGCATCTACAGCCGGGGTCCAGAACCATCGGTCTGAGACCAACACCAGAGAGATCTACCACAGGAGCTTGGGCACCCAGCAGCTCCAGTGGCCACCAGCGTGGGCCAGCAGCTCCCCTGCTTCCTGTATAAGCAAAACTGGACAACACCGGGCAGAGACCTGTCTGCTTGCCGGCTTGCATTTTTGGGGAGGAGTACAAAGACACAGGGCCCGGTTCAACTGTAGACTCTGTGATTGCAAGCCTTGGAGAATCCAGAGATGCATTAGCCTCACGGGTTTGGTTGGGGACTGAGCGGGAATGAGAGACAGGCTGTCCAGAAAGTTGTTTTTTTTTTTTTTTTTTTTTTTTTTATTGAAAGTGGACTGAGGTGTTCTCCTGCCAAGGCAGATTGGCTTGCTTCCTATCCGGCCTTGCAGCGAGCCAGGGGGAAAGTGGAGGCATTTGGGGACTAGCCACACGAATGGGAAGGGCCCTGCCGGTTACTCCCCGTCCCAGAAGGTCTGTTGGACGCGGAGGCCTCTGAGCCACCACCAGGGGGACTGGGAAGCCCGCTGCCGGTTACGCCAGTCCCAGAAGGACGAGCTTGCCGGCGCAGAGAGTTCAGAGAGGTGCCGCAGGACAAAGATGCTCCCTGACGGTTACCTGCTCGCACGCATAGCTGGACTCTGGCGCGCACTGGCGCAGAGATCTTTGAGCCGGGGCTACTGGACCTAGAAGCACCAGACGGTTTCCCGCGCGAAGCGGGGGCGCAGAGAACTCTAGGCTGACGCCACTAGGATCGGGAAGTGCTGGGGCCGGCGCGGACCGGGAAGTGCTGGTTGCGCAGTCCCGGACTGCCCCGGGAGTGTGCCCCGCAAGTGCGCAGGCACACACACCCCACTCCGGTAGCCTGGCTGGTGCCCGCGGCGGGTGCGCAGGCGCCCACACCACAATCCGGTAGCCTAGCTGGTGCGTGCGGCGGGTGTGCAGGTGCACACACCCCAATCTGGTAGCCTGGCTGGTGCTCCCAGCAAGTGCGCAGGCACCCACAACCCAATCCGGTAGCCTGGTTGGTGCGCGCACTTGCGCCGGCATCCCAGCACACAGGGAGATCCTGCTACAACGAGAAAAACCAGTCTGGACAGTTTGAAACCAACAAGGGAAGGGTTTCTCTGTTGTTGTTGTTATTGTTTATTTGTTTTGGTTTTTTTTTTTGCTGTTTCCTTGTTTGTGTTTTGGGTTTTTTTTAATTTTTTATGTTTTTTTCCCTTTTTTAGTAACTTTTTTGTGCATTAGTTTAGTAATCTTATATATTTTTTAAATTTTATCACTGCTTTATCTTTCTATACTTTGTTCCTCTCCTTTCTTTTTCCCTGTTTTAGTCCTTCTCCCTTTCCTCTTAAACTCATTGCTTTCGCCTCCCCTCTCCTGCCTTTTCATTTGATTGTATGTTGCTTCGTTTCCTTTTACCCGCAAGAGACACCAACAACTAGGAACTGTGAAAGGACCAGAATGGGACCCGAAGAGGGGGCATCTTAACAGTAGAGACAGAGAAACAAACTTCACCTTCCTATAGCAGAGAAGCCACGAGGAGATGCATTTTTTTAATTATTTTCACCTCTTTTATATTTTAATAATATCTCTGTATTCCTCCTTTTTCTGTAGAGGCTTCTTAGTCTCGAGTAGGTATATTGTATTATTAGACAGGCTCCCCCTGTCCTTTCCTCTACAGTGCTTTGCTAACCCTCTAAACTACACGCCACATGTTTTCCTTTAGCACACTACCTAAAGCACTATACCCCCTACTCGGACAGACCACATAGAGATTGT